CATCTGACCCAACCTCATATTGAGCTCAGTCTGCACTGAAAATCATCATCTGACCCAACCTCATATTGAGCATAGTCTGCACTGAAAATCTTCATCTGACCCAACCTCATATTGAGCACAGTCTGCCCTGAAAATCATCATCTGACCCAACCTCATATTGAGCATAGTCTGCACTGAAAATCTTTATCTGACCTAACCTCATATTGAGCACAGTCTGCAGTCTGCCCTGAAAATCATCATCTTTTTGGTACATTGAATGAAAAGGATGCAGTCAGCTTTGGCTTTATGTTTTCTTCCAAATGGAATGATTACTCGCCCAAACATAACCAACTATCAATGAATGATATATCATTGTAAAGAGGAGACACATGGCTTTATGGTGCATTGAATGAAATCAATGCTGTTATCACTGGTTTTGTGCTTTTCCGAGATAACAATCTGTTGCGTTTTTTTGATACGCACTGTATAAGCCAACCTCAAAGACTACATTGGTACCTGTTGCACAGAAGGGTTCAATTGAACTGTTTCACAGGCAAAATCCTTTTTGTCAAAATGCTTTTCATAATGAAGTAAAGTAAAAAACCTGCTGTATAAACCAATCATTCTTTAATGATACAATGTAGATTCAAAGCAAAGGGCAGGATGTTTAAATGGGAAATATTGTTGACTGGGATGATTGAGATGTTTCATTTACATTGACCGTTTTTCCTTATATGCGTAAGACTTGTATTATCATCTTGTAGATTTGTCTTTTGTGCATTTGTTTGAGCAATACATTGCTTCTTTAAAGTAAGCACCCTTGCACTGATCCAGTTAGCTCCTGAGGGAGAAGCCCCTTTAACAGGACACTCTCTATCAACAACTCCTTATCTTTAAGTCAGCTCTTTTCATTATATCAGCCAAACTGACAATATTATAACTCATAATAGCCATATTGCATTATAAGTCTGCTAGTTGCTTGTTAGTGAATTATATCTCAAGCAAATAATTGGTATTTTATGGTAGAAAATATATAAAAGGATGAAAAAGGTGGAGACTGGTGATTTCATATATTAATAAAAAGGAAAAACTGTAAAACGGAAAAACTGTAAAACTGTACTGAAATACACATGCAGTTTAAATAGTAAATGAAATTGAAATTGCTGGAAACCTGTTATTTCAGTATGTACTCAGGATTTTCAATAATGTCAGCTTAAAGAATATAGGAGGTATTAAGAGATTAAATGAAAATACGTTTATTGATTATTAAATGAAACAATGGAGCGTGTGTTAAGAATGAAAACTTGATGTGGTGGATATGATCTGTTTTGCGGTTTAACAGCTTCTACCAAGCATTTAATTACTCATATCAAATCCCATTTCTTTGTTATTTATTCTGAGGGAAACCATCTTTTGTTTGATGTTGTTTTAGAAAATTATTTCAACTAATTAATAAATTGAGGATATTGGCCCATTGAAACTTAATTTGCATCATGTGTGACTGTCAGCTGATTTGATTGCACATTTAATGATGCCTTAAAAGACTAAGAGGTTACACTACACACAAGCAGAATGTATTTCTTTATTGAAAAATGATTTTGGGATTTTGGGATGAAATAACCCTTTTTGAGCTCTAAGCCCTCTCACCCTACCCTCATACTTTAAAAGTTAGGTTTTCAAAACAACATTAAACTGAGGGTATCTTAAGAAGTCTTCCAATTTAAGCCTCTGGACCCCAACCTCCCTTTACCTGCTCCACCTCCACCAGTGTAAAAAGGTCAGGTGTTAAGAAGCTGGGGCCTCGGGGGTCACGAAGTGAGACTTTTTTTCACTTTGAAATAAATCAATGGAGCTTTACCTCAGCCAATTATTAACACATTGATACACATTAATCTTGTATAAGTTGCCTCTGCAGTAGTTCACTTTTAATGATTTAAAGATTAAGTAACTAACCTGTAGAAATTTCCAACATAAAGTTGATAAAAGGAAGCTCATCGATGCCTGCCTCTTCTGAAGGGTTCTGTTAGGCATTGTGCATATTTGTTTCCATCTGAAATTAAATCATTTGTTATAAATTGAAGTGCTTCACACAAAAAGGCATTATACTTTTTAAGTTAAGAATATTCTGTTCATTTCTTTTCATTAAATGACCACCAACATACATTTCTTTGAGAACTGTGACACTATTAATATTATTAAAAATACTAAATATAATCATGAATACATTAAATATGGAGACTACAATTAAGCGTCATCTATCCCTATTTGCCAGTCAGAGTAGTACACAAAAATTAAATGTTTGATTTCTTTTTCTTTATTCTTTATTCAATGCGTATATTGCAGCTATAGTTGCCGTAATAGTGTTCTTTGTATATTTCCTAATTGTACGTATGAGGTCTCCCGAAAGTTTTTTCTCTTTCTTGACTGGTGAATATCTTCTTTGCTTTCTGAGATCTGACCCATCTCCTCTCTCTTCAACTTATGCAAGGTTCATTTCTTGTATTGAATTCTTTCCGCAGTTTATAATTATTAGATTTATTATAGATTTTCTTTTGTCTTGTCTGATTGTCGTCCCTCTTTGTTTAGATTATACAAACTGCTGTAATGTCAGATATAGCTTAACTATTCCCAATTTTATGAAGATAATTTCCAACTTTGGACTCCAATTTTGGTTTGTATTTTGACAGCTCAGACCTAATGTATGATAATGTGCTATTTGCTGGAAAGATTCAATATATATTTGCCCATATTTGAATAGACATGCTTCATTTCATTTCCCTATCATTATTTCATGATGTGGTCATATTTCACAGTTTCATTGTAAAACAAGAAAATTATAATTAATTTGATTGATAAATTATGATTTTTAGCATTAGCATTATGAATTATAACACTAGTCATTAAGTATGATTTTTTCGATATTTTTGTTTAAAGTTCTTTTTATCTTATCTACCCAAAGAATTTACCTGTGATTTATCTGTATTTGGTCATGCTAGGCTAACTATCAATTTTTTCAAACAATATTGCACACAGACAAAGGCAACTGCGCTCATGTTTGATTTGAATTAAAAATTGGACATCATTTTAGCAGTTGATACATTATTAATGTGTTTTTGGACATTGTGAGATAGTTGACATGTGCATAAACACCCCCTGAATACATACTGGCACCCTCCGTATTAGTTGCTCTGATAATTTTAACATTAGAATGGGTTTCAAATTGTATGTTTATTTGATCTAAATGTGTGATGCTTAATGTGCCCAATGTATTGAAAATTATTTTTTGGCTTCAGTCATAGACATGAATTTATCTCAATTCTTTGCACTCTGGATAAAATGGCGAAATATAAATGGCAGTATTTTCATATACTGTATATTGTATGTGCTCACTTATATTTCTGATATCGCCAATATGGTAATATGTGATATTACCATTAGACTGGGTCTCTCCAAGAGTAAAACACCTATGTTTGACTCTGTATTGTCGATGTACATTTAGTTTTAATGTGGCTTTTAACCAGCATTCAAATCTGAAAAAGCATCCAGTTAAGTACAATTAATCATTAAATCTATTCAAAAATTTATGACTCATTTTCTCTTTGATACATCAGCTCTACTAAAATAACATATTAAACTGTAAACTTTGTTATCTTATTCAACAATCCAACAATCAATATGATCATTTACATTCATTTGACATAAGAATGTTTTTGCACCACCTTTATGGATTAAAAGAAAGAATGTTTTGTTTGGAAGTTGTTTTTTCAATATCCAGTATTCAGTCTTCTATTAAGATTTTATGAATGCTAATTTCAAAAAAACTTTTTCGTCTTGGATCCATTCCACAATATTCAGTGAGGTTTGGAACTCAGGAATTGTCTTTTAATCATCATCAATGGCAGTCACTTTATTCCTGGTAATGGACTTGACACAACTGGCTATTATTCTGGGAATGGACTGATCAGCATCCCTTGAATCTGACAACCGTGTTTTCAACCTCAAAGCCCATACAACCATGTTTTCAACCTTAAAGCCATGAGAACTATGTTTTCAACCTTAAAGCCCCAACAACAAAATTTTCAGCATCGAAACACATACATTCATGTTTTCAACCTTAAAGCCCATACAACCATGTTTTCAACCTTAAAGCCATGAGAACTATGTTTTCAACCTTAAAGCCATGAGAACTATGTTTTCAACCTTAAAGCCCTGAGAACTATGTTTTCAACCTTAAAGCCATGAGAACTATGTTTTCAACCTTAAAGCCCTGAGAACCATGCTTTCAACCTAAAGGCCCTGACAACCATGTTTTAAAGCCCTGATTATCTCAGTGTCCATATTATATGAGCAGTTGGGTATGCAAGGGTAGTTTATAACATGATGATGTTACACGCCTGAATAGACTGATATGCCTGGCTGGTGATGTAAATGTCAGTTTATGTTATGGTTAAATGGTAAAGTACAAATAAGACTGTATATCAATATCATGGTTTAATATAGATTAATGATGCATTCTTAGTAGTAGTATTTATAGGTTTTTGTCATGTCTCCTGAAGGAGATCAAAGTGGGATCTCCCAAATGCTTAGGGAGATCTATATGCGATACTTGAAGCAAGTTTGATTTATGCAAGAAGTTTTACATGAAAATAAACTTTTCAGAATGTCGTCCATTTTAGACTAATGGTATTAATTTACAAACTCGGGAATTGAATTGTACCTTTAAGAAATACCCATGCATGCGCAAGTTGATTTCCACTTCAACTAGCTTAAGTCAATTAATGTCACCACAAAATGTGCCAGTCTCTGTATAGATGATACAGTTAAACTTGTTTATCCGAATCCCTATGTAACAGGAACAAATCTCAATATGAACATTTTCTCTCATTCCCAATTTTGATTTGATCCCATTGATTCCCAAGTTAAAAAGTATGTAATAGCAGTCATATCAAACAAGGTGTGTGTGGATATATCACTGTCTTTAAGTTTTCTCATGCACAATTTCTTTTTTACGATTCCAGAAGTCTGTTAAAGAAAAACTGGAGGAAATTACAACTTTAAAGAAAACGGTAAGCTGTGCAGACACAAGTTATATTACAATTTAATTATGACGTAATTCACACAGTCAGAGAGAATGTTTCTGGCGAAATTCTGGGATTTCAAATACTTGAAGTTGGGAAACCGGAAGGGTTTACCTTTTTTAATTCCCGAATCTCTCCGAAATTAGCTCATCTTGGTGACTGTAAATTGCACAGCTGTATTCAATGGAGTCTCGTCATATTCAATCAGCCTCAATTTTAAAGTGTATATTTTATTTTCAACGTGATTTCATCGTTTTTTGTCGACTGGTAAGAATACGCTGGGCAAATGGCAAGATGGATGATTTTTGACCTGACCTACACCGATGGCGGTGACGTCATCAATTTTATCTATACAAATTCTATTTGGTCACGTGACCTTGTGCCAGAAGTCCGACTTTTTGGTCAGTCGACCTGTTCAAAGTACATTTAGTAATAATTATCGCTTTTCAGAACAATTTAGGAAACAATATTTTCTATCTACGTCGATTACAAAGCATCTAAGGTACGTAAATTTATATGAACAACTGAGTCAATAGGGATAAATAGCCCAACGAGAGTCGGTGGTCTAAAAAATACTTGGATCTGGATGCCAGTCCTGGTATAGATATAGTTCCAGGCCAGTTCGAAGAACGTATTAGATGTCCGTGGTAATTCAGTATTATTTTATGGAGCTTTGTTAAATATCCTTAAAGTAAACAGGTTATGAGATGAAATATTGCATGGTGTTTACTGTCCATAATATGATGAATTTATTTATAATTGTTAAACAAGTTGATGAGCATGGCAGATATTTTTATTGGAAACTTATTCACTTTCCTCAATAAACTTGAGATGGATCTTATGACGGGAATTACATATAGCTCTCTAGGAGCAACTTCATTTATTTGGTCTTGATTGTGTTTTTGTGGCTTACATTCGTAATTTACCTTTACCTGGGCAAACTAATAAGCAATGCCCATCTTCGTTCACTCGGCTCCTGTCGGTCGATGAATGCAGTGAAGACCAAGCGTGCAAAGATGAGCAATGCCGAAATTGTCAACAAATCTTACTCAACTTAGCAGTATTAACCATAGACAGTACTTCCAAACTTTGCTCTTAGCATATAAAAGCATTGATTAATTTATCAGGGAACCTTATTCTTTTCTCTGAACTGAGCTTAATTTCTCATTTCCTTGGAATTCGATTTTCACTTGACTGAATTAACATCTATAAATGTGTTTGTCAATTTAAATTCCATTCAATTCCTCTCTGCCCCCCCCTCCATGGGGTTCAAGCAATACTATCATTTATTATATTGTCTAATGTTAACTTCTTCTTATATAACTGGTTACCCTACTATCACACCAAACTAGTTCTCACTACGTTCTCGAAAATGGGCTTCAATTGTGTACGAATGGACTGGACTTACTTAGAACCGTTTGGGGTATATTTACAAACTTCATCAAACTTACTCGAACGGGTAGGTCCTCTAGAACTTAGAACATGCTCAAAATGTTCTCTTGGTCGTCACGTTCTACCATTAGAACGAGTGACAATCTACTAAAGACGAGCTGGACGTACTACGAACAAAACAGTCATACTTCAATCCTACTAGGGACATTTTTACGTTTATGAACGAAGTAGCTAATTATTTTAGACATATTTCCTGACCACAGCCAGATTGAGCCCGTTTTGCGACATTTTTGTAGGACTGGTAAGAACGGGTAAGAACTAGTTTGGTGTGATAGGGGGGGGGGGGGTACATACAGTTAAAACTTCAGTTTTATTAAATTGTTTAGGTTGCTGAATTTGAAGAACAAGTGAAGTCACTGGAAACAAAGCAGAAACATCAAGAGGAGACTAGCAGTAAACAGGTAAATAATGATTAATTTACTTACTTTACTTACTTACTTAATGATGGTTGTCTAAAGGGTGTATGGGATATAGGGGTTATTCTAAAGGAAATATAGATATATGTATAGACACATATATACAAGGGACCATGTATTTCTTGAATGATAAGCCGTTCAGTGTTTCTCAGAATACATACAAAACGTATCAAAATACAAAACTGTTTCAGACTGATATTTTGGAATGAGCATTCACAAATGTAGTTTATGTTGTACTGTAGATAGAAGAAAAGTCCAGTCAAGTGACCAAACTTGAGGAACAGCTTGCCAACAAGCTCCAGATAGTAGAGGAGCAAACGAAAGAATTAGAGGTATGCATTTATTTTATTTAGATGGTTTACAATGAGCATTACACCAGTACTATAATAGATGTGCCATGACCCACACTCAGTCCAAAAATGTATAACATGTATAATAAGTAATACCTTTCTAAAGATGCCACATTTATATGTTATAAAAGAAGCAATGGTTTGGTTTATATTTTTATCACCCTTATCCACTTCTTTTAAATGAGAAAATATAGACTTCAGGGGCGGGCAACTCAGCCCGAAAATCTATAACATCTATAATAAGTAATACCTTTCTAAAAATGCCACATTTATGATGTTATAAAAGAAGCAATGGTTTGGTTTATATTTTTATCACTCTTCTTTTAAATGAGAAAATATAGACTTTAGGGGCGGGCAATGCAGAACTAGAAGTATGCCAATCATCAAGTATTACATACCTATGGAATTCAGTGGAAATGTAGGCGGGCGATACAAGCCTATATAGCCCGCTTTCATTAATATCCATGACAATATCGGGGACAATATTAGGACGTCATGTTTCATTTCTACCAAATTCTACACATATTTCACGTTTGATGATCTCTAATTATACGGAATTCAACATTTCACTAATCACCTCAACAATATACAGTATACTATTTCTTTTATTAGTTGAAGCAACAAGTTGTTCAATTTATGATGCAACGAATTGATCTTTTTCAAATAAAGAAAACATTTATGTTTTTTTTATATTGCAGTATTTCAATTTCATATGTTCTATTCAGTTCATTTCCATTTACGTTCATGCCTCAACGCTGATGTTTTATGTTCAATCAAGCCTCTCACACAGCCTGTTGTATGTACAGAGTTGAGCTGTCATTTCGTTGAATATTAAAATTAATTTACAATCAAGATATTGATTTCTACGTCAGTTATAATTTAAGGCCCTTTCATATTAAATCTATGGTTCACACTATCTACCTGGACATCCTTGGTCTAGCCATTTTTATTGATTTTAAAGTTTTACCTATTAAAATTTGAAATGGATTTTTACAGTTTAAGATGGTTGAAAATGTGTAGACATACGAGGGTTGTCCCAGAAGTAATGCACTATATGCTCTAACTTTATCAATAATTGATATTTTTCCATGAAATTTTCAGTAAATGTTCCTTAGGGACATTTTGATTATTCTAAAAATTTTCATGTTGACTGATAAAATTATATTGATGTTATGATAAAATCAAGTTGGTGAGTTTGGGTAGGACGGGGCAGGTTATACAGTCACGTGAAAAGGAATAAAAAATTGAAAATATGAAATAATTAATCAACGAAGACCATTTGATGTAGCTATAAGAAGTATGCTCAAAAATACATTTTAAGATACTAAATTACTATGAGCACATCCTAGATTTAATGGATGTACATGTATATTGCACAGTGTCCCATTTCACATATTTCTCAAAATATTGCCATTTGCATGTTATGTACTTTTGATGCCTGTCAGGTCAAACACTCTCGGCAATTTCTTCCACTGTGACTTGTGGAGTTTTTGCCTCCCATGTTTGGAGTTGTCATACAGGGTCAAATCGTCTCTTTTAAATCTCTTCTGCCACCCCATAATTGTAGTTCTATTTGGTATATACTCTTTATATACTTTCTTCATGGTAGCATTGTTTTGCGTGGCTGTGAGTCCAAGTGAAGTATGAAATTAGGCCACCAAACGCAATGCCTTCTGTTTTCTGGTGAGAATTGCAGCCATTTTTGCAATTTCTTGACTGTGACTGTATTTGAATTTGTGACTATTGAAATGTGGTATTATGACATCACAGTGCTAAATGTCATTATTGGTACTTGGTTAACATCATGCTGAATAAATTTAACAATTTCCCAAACTTTTTGACCATTTAAAGGAAAGAAATATTAATGAAATAACACTTTAGATCTTTTCATAAATAGAAAAATTGGTACCTGCCCCGCCCACCCCTACCCCCATGTTGTTATAGCAACCATATTAAAACTTAATATTAATGTTGGATGCTGAAACTTCAGGATATAATAGATAAAACTTCAATTGTTATATACACAAAATTTCAGCTGAATTGAAGAATATTAATGAAAGTTAGAGCATATAGTGCATTACTTCTGGGACAACCCTCGTATAGTCCCATAAAGAGACAAATTTCTTCTAAACAGACAATCAAATTATAGGGGCCTAATTTTCATATCTTTACTGTTATTGTATGCTGCACATATGTATTGTGCCAATATTAATTTGTCGTCTATACTATTTATACTGTTGATCATATGGAGTCGCATTTGCATGAAAATGATCTTATTGATTTTGAAAATTATATCAAAGAAGAGCCTTGGTTTTATTCGAAAAAGATTGAGACACTATGTTTAACTAATATATGTACCATGTTTAATTTATTCCTTCTCTCTTAATTTCTCCTTTTAAAGTTCAACAGAATCAATATGTGTACTTTTAAATGGTCTCCATCACTTTATTAATTTAGTTGGATTATTCTTTTGTTCTATATTAAGTGTACTGTATTTTCAAGCACAGTACAGTGTATGTACTGTACTGTACTGTGCTGTACATACAGAACTCATTTAAATGATTATGTGTGTAATGTTATCAGTTGAATATATGCACTGGGAATTTTACAATATGGCGCACTTTGCTTGCATTACGATGAAATCTGGTTTGAGTTATTAGTTGCTGATTGGGACATAACAATTTATTGCTATGTACAATATATGAAAAAAAGCTATAGTCTTTTTCGTGCATAAATTCTACAGTTGAATGATTGTGTTCGTTTAAGTGCATAATGTCCCTTTTCATGTTTCATATTGTTTGATTTATTTGTGTCCTATCACTTTCTCTAATACATTGAAACCTGTATATCCAACACCTCTGTAATACAGACACCTCTCAATGTGAATTATTTTTATCCGAGTCAAATTTGTTACCTCCCATTGACTCACATATTTAAAGAGCCTTGAAATGTGAACACCTGCTAATCCGAACACTTTTGACTAGTTCCAGTGGTTATCATTAAGACAGGTTTTACTGTATATCATTTTACATAAGAATTAATGACATTTTTAGTTGAGTTTTCCTGTGTTTTCACTGGTGTTTAACATTTGATGTTCTGAACTACATTTTTAAGGTAGGGCATGCATGGTGTAATTGCAAACTTGGGTCAAACTTGGATCAAACTTGCATTTTCTACATATAGAGTTGCAATAGCATTTTGATCAGACAGGTTCAAAAGTTTTCCAACTAACCCCACCTTAACTTCAAAACACAGTCCTTCAAAAAAGTTCTAGTTATAATATCTAGCTAGTATTCAACATTTATAATGGATATTATTGAGATTGTCTATTCACAATATATTATAAATTATCTGATTAACAAATAGGACAATTTTTCTAAAAATGTAAGTGTCTGAGATTCTTCTTTATTATCCCATCGAACGAAGTTCGGAGGGATATAGGGAACACCTCCGTCCGTCCGTCCGTCCGTCCGTACGTACGTCTGTACGTACGTCCGTCCGTCCGTCCGTCCGTCTGTCTGTCCGTCCGTCCGTCCGTCCGTCCGTCCGGGCAATAACTCAAATACCATTACCCCGATTTTGTTCATATTTTGTACACATATACCCTATGGGGGTAGAAGTTCTGCTCGAAAGCTGATTTTCAAAATGGCCACTCATTTCAAAATGGCGGCCATTTTAGTGCCGATTTTACAGTAATTTAGGTGCAATATGTAAAACTGTAATAGCAATATGTTTTAAATGTAAAAAAATTATAAAGGACATTAATAATGCTACAAATGTAGATATTAAAGAAGCACATGGCAGCCATCTTGAAAAATGGCGGCCTTTACTCGTCATTTTACGATTTTTGCTGTAACTCAAAAAATAGTGGAGCGATTTTGTTCATATTTGGTATGTGAATACTATAAGCATGGCACACTGTCCTATGACACTTTGGGTAGAAGATGGCCATTTTGAAAAAAAAATTGAAAAATGGCCGCCATTTTAACGTATTTTGCTATAACTCGAAAAGTAGTGGAGCGATTTTGTTCATATTTGGTATGTGAATACTATAAGCATGGCACACTGTCCTATGACACTTTGGGTAGAAGATGGCCATTTTGAAAAAAAAATTGAAAAATGGCCGCCATTTTAACATATTTTACTATAACTAGAAAAGTAGTGGAGCGATTTTGTTCATATTTGGTATGTGAATACTATAAGTATGGCACACTGTCCTATGACACTTTGAGTAGAAGGTGGCCATTTTGAAAATTTTTTTGAAAAATGGCCGCCATTCTAACATATTTTACTATAACTTGAAAAGTAGTAGAGCAATTTTGTTCATATTTGGTATGTGAATACTATAAGCATGGCACACTGTCTATTTCTAATGACACTTTTGGTAGAAGGTGGCCATTTTTCACGCCATTTTAACGTATTTTACTATAACTCGAAAAGTAGTGGAGCGATTTTGTTCATATTTGATATGTGAATGCTTTAAGCATGGCACATTGTCTAATAAAACTTTTGGGAGTAGTCGGCCATTTCGAAAAATGGCCACCATTTTTATGTGTGTTATTTTACAAGTACGTGTATGATTTTTCAAAAATTTTAGAGGTGGCTACTTAAAAGCATATTATTTCTTCTGATGACAACTTGGCTAGTGAGCAACCATTTTGAAAATGGTGGCCTTTCTGGTGTGTTGTTTTATGATATTTGCTATTCGTTTGTAAAAATGCCAGCCATTTCTGTTCGATGGGATTCGCTACGCTTTGGCGTTGCCGTTGTTCTGGTTGATATATTATCCTTTCTCTTTATTTAAAAAAGTTTTTTTGTGTTCATGATTTTTCTTGCAATTTTATTATTTTCTATTTTTTCCTAATTGTAGAAATATGTAAAAACATTTTTGAAAACTAAATCATCTTTTTTATAAATGGTAAGGGCATGACGCAATATGTGCAATATAGTTTACGTTAAACACGCAATGACGCATATACATGTATACTGTACCCACTTGAGCATGATTGAAGCAGATTTTCTAGATTTTTCAGAATTGAAATTAACCACGTTTTAAAATTAATCATAAATTAAATTATTCAACCAAATGTAATTTGATAACGAAGTCCTAGATTCCATATTAAAGCCAAAGTAAAAAGCATATAACATATTCATACTTCAAATGAAATGAAGTTGAAATAATTTTACAGATCTGATTACTGAAATCAAGTTTCAATTCAACATATATCGATTAATTTATATTTTTAGTTGAGTTTAATATCATTAGAAGGCAACAGATTTAAAATACATCGAATAAAGAATTACATATAAGCAGCTTATAAAAAGTACCCACCTGATAAAATAACTTTCACCGCGAAAATCCTATTTTTTCTCATTCGGTTTAACAATTTCGCAGTTGTTTTAATTTCTTTTTTTTTCGCACCTGTATATACTACATTGTGTTTTTTACATTATGAGAAAACTGGACTTGCATCCAGTAGTTCGTTGATAACAAAGACGAAGGTCTGATACGATATATTGTTTGTGTACGCAAGATATAAAATATATCAATCTATTATAAGATGGCATATTTATTGAAGCGTAGCAAGACCAGAATTGATTAAACTTTAATCAATTTACAGTCTATCATTTATATATTATTTGCAACGATATTTACAGGAGAAAAATCGAGATAGGAAGTAGTATCATTTTTTCACACATCCCTTTTCAGTGTAGATATCTGCAATATTTAAATGAAAGTACATGTATTACAATTGGTATGTCTGGTTTATTGTACTATTTTACATCGTGCAGTAATATATGAGGATTGTTCAATCAATACTATGTCTAGCATTTACTACATTTGGTTTCTATTGTATTGTATTTCACATGTACAGCATATACAAGGGTTGTTCAATCATTTATCAAATACAAACCATTGAGCCCTTTTTACATGTGGCAAAATAGTTTCTACTCCATCGCAGCAACACCCTCCTTTACAGCCCACCAAACAGCCATATTGATGATATTCAAAATACAGGCTGCAACTTTTCACTGAGGAAAATTGTTAGGATTTTCAGCTTCCATGACTCTTGTGGGCTCCCACTCTCCATCTGAGATCAGAAAATAATTCATAGGCTCAATTTTTACATTTGCTAATGTTTCTACATTACTAATATTGGATAAATGTTTTCAACATTTCTTTAACAATTGATATTCTCTGTCTTTACAGGGTGTTCAGAAAGATTTAAGCAAGTCGACAGATCTGTGCAAGAATTATGATAAACAGGTTGTGAAACTACAAGATCAGGTTAAGGTATGTAATAGAACATTACCACTTATTTGTTTGCATGTTGAGCCCATTGAATGAGGTGATGACACGTTGTTTTAGTCTCCAACCTTTTTTTGATGGTGTTTGGCGGTTGGCATTGGGCCATCTTGGGAATATCATAATATACAGCAAGGCATTAACATGCTGAATGTCACTACCTGCCATTTGTTACAGATGCTGAATTAAAGAAATACAATTCGAAATACAAATATAAAAAAATTCCAAACTTGAAATCCATATTTGAATTTCAACGAAGATGACCATATTTTATAACATTAAAATAGCTGAATCTTTATTGAAGAAATGGCAATATGTGGTATTCATTATTTTTGTTGTATTTTCAGGAGCTACAAGACACCCTACAGACAACCAGTGATCTACTGAAGACAAAGGATGAATCATTGAAAAAACTTCAAGACATTGAGAAACAGTTAAATAATAATGTTGAGGAACTGACTAAGGTTGGTATTCACACTTTAATTTCAACATTTCAAACACATTTATAGTTAGGTACACCCCTCCCCAAAGGTCCTCTTCTGGATTGCATGTGAAAGCCTGTTTGCGTAAAAAAAATTCGTAAAAGGATGTGTCTGGGTATATGCCCTTTTGGTCCCTCAGTCAAATGTTTGTGAAATATGGTTTTTATTACTCTCCTAGTTATATTTGATAAGTATATTTACTTTTTCACGAGTTTCGATGCATAATTAACCCCCTGCTGAGAGTCAGAATAAGTATCTTAACAAACAAAAAAATAGTCATTATCATAGAAAAAAACACCAATGGCAACATGTGTGACATACAAAGAAGAATTAACTTAAGACCGATGAAGAATTAAAAAGAAAATCATATTTTTGCTATATATTTAAGGATTAAAATTTTTTTCAAATTTTTGAATTTCCCGCCAGTTTAATTTGAAGGGGGAAAAACAAGATGGCTGCCATTTGATGTAAGAAATATCAGGAAAAAAGTTGCTTCACTTTTAGTTTTCACAATGAGCACAGTTTTCCGGTTTAGGTTTTTTGACTGATTCTGACTCTTCGTCACCAGGGTCATGTATAGAGATTATAAAATTGAAACCAAAATGTTGTGCTCAGCATGAATTTGACTGAAATATGGGTAACATCACCAACACAATTGAAGTCTCAAAACTGGATGCTCAGTAACTTTAAGTGACTATAATCCCTTGATTACCCAGATAAACACCAATTCACTTATACAGAAATACCATTCAATGTCTATTCAAAGAAAGTAACCAATGTTTTGGAAGATATGTTTCAAACTTTTTGCATAAATAATTTATTTAATATTTGTCATTGATTTTTTTTCAATTCTGACAAAGTGATATGCACTGTCTTTGATGCCAATATTCTTCATCAATTGTGATACAAATTGATATTTTTGTAATCTCAGAAGAAGGATAAGATATTGAAGTTTAATAATATGTGTGATTGAGTTGGTTTTTCAGACATTACAATTTTCAATATTTTCTAAGTCGATACCCAGACTCATTCCCAGACTCATCCTTTCCAAACCATACTTTTAAGGAAAGTAAATATTGAGACATAAGAGGCTTTAATGGGTGATAAAATGATGACGTTTGGTTGTCAAACTTATGGAGGGGAGTGTATATTCCATTACCATGTCCATTATTGTCGCAATGTCGCATTGTCGCAGTGTATTGTATCCACTAGTAACCCTCTTGATTATCTATTCAATAAGGATTTACAGCTCACATTTTGAAGAACGTAGACTTTTTTTGTGCCTCTAATATGAATGATTCGTTTGTAGGAATCCGTAGAACTGAAGTCAAAGGTAGAAAAATCTCAGGTTGAATTGAAAGATGTCACCACCAGTAAGAATGCTGTCACGGATGAAAAGGTGAAATATATGCTCTAGTTTATACATTTTTACATTCTGAATGTTTTACAGCTTTGTGATTCTGGAATATATAATTTTTATCATTCAAAAATATTGTGGAAGTGTTTTGCCTGATAAGGTTCTATCATCCTCCTAAGCTACTGCATTATTTAGCCTATTCTTATTGGTACCAGGCTCAGCAATATACCTACTGAATCCATCACTTGTTTGTCTACTTATTCTAGCGGGTGACGTACATCCTAACCCAGGTCCCAAAACATGTGAAAAGATTTCCTTCCTCTTTTCAAACATTAATAGCTTACTTGCGGATTCAGGCTCTAGATTTGAAGACCTGAAGCAAAGAGTGACTGACTTGAATCCAAGCTTTGTAGGGTTGTGTGAAACTGGAAATATTGAAAATAGCCTTGATCTTCCCGATTTAAAGTTAGAACACTACCGGAGTCCACTTTTCACTCCACTAGGTCGAGGACTTGTCATATATTCTCATGAAGATATTTCTGTTAAGCCTTATAATCATAATCTCTACATTAATAATCTTGATATCTTATTAGCTGAAATCTCTGTTGACCACAAAAATATCATTTTCGGCATTTGTTATAGATCACCAAGTCAATCTGCAGAGGAAATTCGAATTTATTTTAACCGTTTACATCAGCAACTTGATATCATTAAAAATGATGCAAATAAATATGATCAAGTTTTACTCATGGGAGATCTCAATGCAAAAAATCCAGCTTGGTTTCAGAATGATGAAAATCTTGCTGGTGAATTACTTTTAGACTGTCTTGATGCACATAATTTTATACAAATAGTTGACAAACCAACACGGATAACTAGCACTTCAAAAACTTGCATCGATCATATCTTTACAAATTCACCAAACTCTATTGATTCTTGGTCAATCGATGCTCCTATTGGAAGATCTGATCATGGTACCCTTTTTACAACTTTAAATCTCAACTTTACAAAGAATCCTCCATTTAAAAGAACTCTGTATCAATATGACAAAACAAATATAGCAAATTTAAATAATGAAATTAGACAAACTGACTGGGATAGTATCTTGACAAGTTCAAATGATTTGGATAAATGCACTTCTGATTTCATAGAGAAACTCAAATGTATATATCATGAGAAAATCCCAAATCACACTAAAACAATAAAATCAAATGATCAACCATGGTATAATGAGCATTTAAAGGTTGAAATGAATAAAAAACGACAGTTATATAAACGTAATGAAAAAAACCCATGTCCTTTAAATTTTGAACTCTACAGAAACCAGGCCCTTAAAGTTTCAAATCTTATATCCTCAGCTAAAATTCAACATGAAAAAAATGCCATACAAAAAGTTGAATCCTTAAATAAGAATGATAAAAACTTTTGGAAATTGGTAACCAAATTAATAGGGAGAAATAACACTTCAAGTAGTATTCCAGCTCTTTATGATACAAATGGAAAAACCTTGCGACAGCCAATTAGATTGCGAGTTCTTAATTGGGGAAATGCTAACTGCTTATAGCAGGGTGTAAAAAGAAAGAATTTCTACTGTAGATTAAACTAGAGAAGGAATTATCAGAACTGACCAAGACACACTCTGTACTGACACTGGCTAAGGAGGCCTTGGAGGAGGAGGTACAACAGGCCAAGGCTGAAGTCACCAAAGTTAAGGAGGAGCAAGCTAAGGTAAGAAAACGGATAGTTTTCCCCTTCCAAAAGCTTAACTTTGGACATATTACACAGAGGGGTTAAGTTGCTTTGATACAAATCATTTCTACAAAAACTTTCAAAAACTAAAAATCCTTCTTTGTGGAATTATTTTGTGGAAATGCTTCGCTACCTAGTAATTAAACCTCTGCTGAGTATCTATATGAAGTCTTCAATTGTCCCATAAGCGGGATCTTTAAAGCTCAACTCATTTCAAAATGGCGACCATTTTGTTTCCTAATCCCATGTGGGCCCAGTACCCAGGGTACTGTTTATTCACCATGATCAAATGTTATCAACACTGATGGTTTCCCTGTGTTTAGGAGCTCTCAGGCCTGAATGATGCCAAACAACTGCTGATTACACAGAAACTGGAGATGCAGGCCAAGGTGACAGACACAGAGAAAAAATTAAAGAAGGTACAAAGATTTGGAGGACAACGACACATTGTCAACCATTCTTATTTTCCCCATTGCTCACAATGGGGCAATAAGCTTAGCTGAGGCTTTAATCTGAAAAATGCCATAAAAATATTTTATCAAAACTTTACTAAGAATATGTAAGGTGAAAGTTTAAATGCCAATGTTTTCTATTCAAATTCTTCTACATTTTATTTTACAGGCATATTCTGACCTATCAGAGGCTGAGGAAGTTGCCAAGGGAGTCCAGGCAATGCTCAAGGAAGAAAACTCAGGCCTACAAAGCAAGCTGGTATGTTATCAACCTGTTTGTGAGCCTTCAGTAAAACTTATTTTGGGTATCTCTTAATGTATACACCTTGACATGTGAACAATATACATTGGCAATTATATGTCACCATCAGTAGTGGTTCAGCAGTCAGCATCTGTTACAAACTGCGAGTGGTGACATTTTGCATGGCAATGCTTTGTTTGGTGTTCCATTGACTCTCATACTATCTGAATCTAAATATGTGATTGACCAATTGTGCTTGAGGACATGTTTTACAATACACGTGTTAATGTTTCTTGTTTCATAATGGTTCATTCAATAGAATTTTTCATTTTAAAAGGTACTCATATTTATTCTGTGATGCATCTTGATTTTGAAGTTTATTTATCGATTTATGGTGATCTTAAATAGTTTCATGTTCTAAAAATGTTACCTAGGCAACAGAGGTGAGGACACGCGATGAGCTCGAGAGACAAAAGTCAGAGATGGAAACCAAGAATGAATTACAACTTACGGTGCTAAATGAAAATCTTTCAACAATACGCAGTGACCTTGTTGCGAACCAAACTAAAATGGCTGAACTTCAGAAGCAGAATGATGAAATCAGGGGAGAAAAACTTGGTATGTTAAATAGGATTGATTTGTTGGATAATGCAATTTACGTTTACGTTGTGCAATTCAATTTTGAAATGACAATTTTGAGTATATAAAAGATATGTTACAAATAAATATGTTGTAAGCTTAATGGTTAAAGCACCAAGGACATAAAAGAAAAATTAATGTTTGGCAAAAACTCAAAAATAAGTAATGAATTTAAAAAATTAATCCAAAACATTGATGAATGCAGAGCTGGTGTAACACCTATAAGAGGAAAAATACATGGAGTTTTTAAGCCTTATAAAATATTGAACAACAATCTTGTGTATTTTCAGCAATGGAAGCTAAGTTGGACAACAACAATGATGAGAGGAGGGCATTATTGGAGCGCTGCATCAAGAGTGAGAATAAGAGTGAGGAAATGATGACTCAAATGGCAGAGTTGAGGCGTAAACATGATGACATGAACGCTGCTCTGCATGAACTTGGGAGGGAGAACCAGTCTCTACAGGTGAGGAAGCTCATTTTCTACCAACATCATGGGCTGGAAACAAGCCAGAATTTTTTTTGATGAGATTCCTGTGAAACAAAATAACTATTTATAGTCATTTAAAACTTTGATTACACCAAAAATGTCTTTGATGAAAAAAGATTTCCGACCTCCAAGATATGTCAAATATGGTCTGACACCCCTGTTATTTCTCAAAAACCTCCAATAAAAGTCCTTGAAATCTACAATAATTGAGATTGTTAACATATTTACAGCATCAAAACTATAAAATCGTTAATGTGTTAGTCAAGATGAAAGTGTGGTAACTCAATGAAGATTCAGGGAAGTAACCAGTTTTTCATTTCCAGATTAAAACAACAAAAACAAGTGGCAGGAAATGGACAGATGATTCTCAAGTAAAAGAATGTATGCAGTGTGACAAATCTTTCTCTGTTACTGTACGGAAGGTAAGATATTATAACATTACATGTATTTTGGCTTGCTTAATTGTGTTTGAACTTACATACAAGGTTTCATTTCTTGATTGAGGGAAGTTCACACTGTTTTTATTGTACTTTTTAAAAGTGCTATATTGTCATTGTGTTGTACTTTTTAAAAGTGCTATATTGTCATCGTTTTGTACTTTTTAAAAGTGCTATATTGTCATTGTGTTGTACTTTTTAAAAGTGCTATATTGTCATCGTTTTGTACTTTTTAAAAGTGCTATATTGTCATCGTTTTGTACTTTTTAAAAGAACTATATTGTCATTGTGTTGTACTTTTTAAAAGTGCTATATTGTCATCGTTTTGTACTTTTTAAAAGTGCTATATTGTCATCGTTTTGAGATGATGGATGGGAATGCATTATCAAAATTCAAGAAAAAAATGTTACCTGATCAACATGTCACTTTCACAGATGCAAAAGCAGACAAATGCCGAGATCTGAATAGATTTTGGACATGCTGAGTAAATTATTTGGTGGCTATTTTGAATTTCTTGTTATAAACATGCAACATCATATATGTTATGTTATATTGTTTTTTTTGTATTCCAGCATCACTGTCGAAATTGTGGAAACATCTTTTGTAATGAATGTTCATCGAATAACTCTGCCATTGCCTCATCCAAGAAACCTGTTCGGGTCTGTGATGCTTGTTACGTAGACATTCAACAATCCCGGTGAGATTACTAACTAGCCTTTCATGACCTGACAACCCGTTGTAAGACTGACTGTGTAGTTTTGTGTACAGCATCTTGCCCTTTGTGACAACATCATAGAAACTGTGTGAGATTGCTGCATTAATGTGTAATACTGTAGTTCTGGATGGTAGCACTGATTTGTTCGTATATAACATGGAATAGTGGCTTAAATAGACTAGTATACTTGCTAGATGTGTACCAGGTTGTGTCATAGTGATTTCTGGTTGAATTACAGACCAGTTTCATATTATTTTCTCCATCACATTGTCTCCCTTCCCATCTCCTATTGCTTTAAGGGTTTGACTGAAGGCATGGGGATAGGAATTGAAGTTGGGTTAATTTCCTGTACATCTTAAAAGTAGTAGCTGGTCTGTGGTACAATTTACTCGATGTTTTCCGGTGCTTATGACACACACTGTTCAGTAGATTCTAAATCAAACTACATTGTACTCCAGCTGTGTAGTATTTATTGAAGGAGTTGAAAAAGTTTTACTGTAATTTTCTCCTTCCATTTGACATGGACCTTTTTGGAGGAGTATACATGTACATGCACTCTCCTTATATTCATGTTATCTGCACAACTCAACATCCAATGTACAATCCACATGTGTCTTTTGGACAGATTTACTGACAAAAATCCTGTACATGCTCTGTTAAAATCAGTGGTTATTTTAGTTGAAATGAACTTCTTACAATACTCAAATTTTATCTACCAAACCTAAATCCCTCCCCCTGACTATGGTGTCCTGCTTGCCCATCTTTCATATCAAACTTTCTTCAAGAGGGCTCTACATTTTATGGGATGGCGATCTGATTTTTTGAAAATATTACCAATTTTGACCAAAAGTTTATCTCAAAGTAAATAGTAACAATAGACTGAAAATGCACAATTCATTTGAATCATTAACCTCATTGTAAACACTCCATTTCCATTTGGACATTTCATAATTTTCTATTGGATAATTGGTTCATCATTTAATCAATAGTTGTAATATACAATCAGGTTTTGCATGTAAATGATTGAATTCCATATTAAGAAATAGCAAACGTGTGTATATAAGTTGTACATGTATGTACAGTGTACATTGATATGAGTTTGGGTAAAAGCAACTTTCAGTGCATCTGCAGTACCAGTTTGCCCTTAAGAGTGGGATGAGGCTTAGTATAGAGTATTAGAATATGAGGAGTAAAATTATGGAATGAAAAAAGGATAAAAAATGAATATTGAATATCAGCCTCCACTCTCAATGTTAAGGAATATCCCCCCCCCAAAAAAAAAGAATGTAGAATATGAAAAATACATACTTACTCTACATGTTACTCTATCACCCATGCTGCACCTTTTTTAATTAATTTAACAAAAAAACTTAATTTATGAATATCATTGAACCCTTCTTGAAAGGCAGATACAAAGACAATGAGTTGTTTGTTTTTACCCAAACGATGTTTAATAGACAGATTGCTATAAAAAAAATTACACATGATATTGTGTAGTAAACATGTAGAAGGTAATGTAGGCAGTGGACACTGACTAGAATAGTAAAACAAAGCCAGATTCTAGTGAATTTTGTACCAAGGTGACACTAAAATAGTAAACTAAATTATGTTGATGTACTACTAGAATAGTGTACTTTCAGTTTAGTCTCTAGAATAGTATACTTTGTAGTGCTATGTAGTGCAAAATGATTGATTTGTTATTCCACAGAACAAAGACCTGTAGGGATATAGAGAAGCCAGTTGATAACTTAAATTTTCAAAATGACCAACATTTTTTATAAAAAATGTATTTAGGCTCAACTTTGTATGCTTCATAAGGTTTTTATTCTCCATTTTCCATGCATAAAATGACATTCTTGGCTAAGATACGAATGTCTTCTTACTTACCTGGATTGCTTTATAAAGGAATTCTTTATAGGTTTACAATCTCTGATCAAGAGGAATTCCAAAACTGACCTTCATTTTCTTGAAGTTTAATTCTTTATCTATTCTTGCATGACATTGTTTTTGCCTAAGAGCAGTGAAATTAGTTTTGTTCAGTGAGATTTACTTATCTGTGGAGTTGCTATTTTTCTAGTTATTAATGCATGCATGAAGTGTTTCATGTTGCATATATATGTTGTATTTGTTCTGATGTATCACTTGTATTTTAGTTTTGTTTCTGCATTTTGTAGTTCTGAACGTACTGAAACATGAATACTACTACGCATTGTCATGATCCTTTCTAGTGGTATACTACACCCATGAAAATTAAAGTAGCATTTTCAAAGTAAAGTTCAGTCATGTAATTGGTATCAACAATATACAAGACATCATTGACAGATATTTTCTTTTCTTTTCATAGCACCCTTTGGGGCTATATTGTAATCAGTTTGCTTATTTCATTAGAATTTTATTTTTAAAAAATAACATTTTGAACATTTAATACATTGACATCATTTACAAATATCAAAACAGTTACAAGAATGATAATTTTAAGTATTTATTTGTTATGTATGTATAATAGTATTATTAGTCTACATATTAGTGTCATTTATATACATATCCAGAGTTCATTTTTTCAAAGGTAGATAAAGTTTATTTATGGATTTGTTATTTATATAACCTTGTCCCTGAAAAAAGCTATCCACCTTTTGAAATAGCTGTAGTGCCAATATAACAGATATAGTGTATATACAGTAGGTGATGTATTGTAGCATAAACAATAATGTTTTCATATATTGTACATGTACAGTAAAACCTGTCTATTCCATATTAGAAAGTTTTTTAATATGAATGTCATATGTGATATTCACATTATGGCGATGGGCAAACTTGGTACCATTGGAAAGCTGACATATTCAGCTTTTCAGATAAACCAGTATGTAATTAAGAATAAAAATTGGGCAAAGGCTATTGTATAGAAAAATGTTCTAGTATACAGGTTTTACTGTATTATTTACTATTACATACAATACATAAACATGTATCTACATTTAAGGTGGTAGCGCATATAGGAAGCTTCAAAGGCAGCGGGGATAATATACTGTTTTTAACAAGGACTATTAAGTTACCTCAATTGTAAGATGCTGTTGGTATGCTTCTTCTTAATTAATATAAAATGAGGAAAAAACTTTAAAGGTAAATCAAAAGTAAAAGTGGAAACAAGGAATAGACAGTATCAGTATGACAGTTTCATTTATTCTTTTCAGATTATTCTTTTCAGATTTAATATTTGAGAAATCTAAGCATAATATTAATGTTCAAAGATCAGAGAATGTCCAAATTAATAATATTCGTTACACTTTTGAGCAATCTTTTTTAGAAAGTAAGACACTACGGTAGGAATAAAATTGATCACTCATAAACAATTGCATAATTTATGTTTACATAATACTGGAGTTACAGTTGCATATGTTGTGATCACACATGTTTTTAGGCAACAGTAGCATAATTTACATTTGCGTAATACTGGGATTACATTTGCATATGTTGTGACCACACATGTTCCTAGGCAACAGTAGCATAATTTACATTTGCATAAGACTGGGATTACATTTGCATCATGCTGCAATCATGTTATATTAGGTTGCTGTGGTTACAGTTGCGTGTTGCTATGGATATAGTTACATAGTCATGTCACTATGGTAACAGTGGTGCTGCTATAGTAACATTATGCTGTACCTCACAGCATCAGTCTATTCAATAATCAAATGATGACAGTTTTGTGTGCTCAAAAGTGTAATGATTGATGATTTAATTATTAATTGTATTGATTTTTATCTAGTCATCTTGATTGAAAATAAAAAAGAAAAAATAAGTTACTTTAGAAATGTAAAAAACAGAGAAATGTGCCAGTAACTTTCATTGATGTTACAGTCTTATTTCCATTTATCATGAGAGTCATCTATAAATACTAGATACATATCAGGTCTTTATGTTGGATATTATATTTATATATAAAGGTTGTGTCCAAATTAAGTGATCAGATATTGTACATAAAATAAATATATTTATAGCTTCATTGCATAATTTTGTAAAAAATGTTCTGTTCATTAGCATTACTTCAGAACTTCAGTGCAAGTCATACATGGGTGATTACATATGTGCCCCCAACCTTACATATGCATTTGACAAGTTTCATATGCTCAATTTTTGAGTCAGATGAGAATCTGCCAAATAATACTTGTATATCCATCCTTTTGTGGCCCTAAACACAATGTTGAAAGAAAGTTTTGGTGACATCATTATGTTGCATAAATAAGTAAGTTCCGCGGTAGGCAATGGCATATCGGCGACATTAATCATTACTTTTAGAAATGATCCAGATTTGGGAGTCCCAAAAATCAATAAAGGAGATGTTTGAATATTTAGCCCAGATACCAGATACCAGCTACTAAAGTATACTGAAATCAGTGTTTTCAGTAGGCTTGTCCAAAATTGCGTCCCTTGGACGTAATGATTTTCAAAAAATGCATCTCCCTTCAAAAAACTGCGTCCCTTGAAAAAATGTTCCCGGGAATTCAAAAGTCACGTTTTTACACTGGATGAAATAAATTGATGAAATTTTGTACCACTGCTTTTGCTATTTATCGGTCTGAATCAGCGTTCTTGCAAGTCTAGTATGTCATTGAATGATACAGATACCATCATAACTTATATTCTCCCATTTAAAACACCTTTTCCTTGCGAATTTCGAAACAATTTGCTATTGATTTTGCTTTAGCATGTTTAGTTTAGGGGCAATCTGCGCGAGGTTCAACTTTTTAGTTCAGTTTCTTGCGCATATGCAGTCTCAAATAATGATCACGTGATCACACTTGACCAATTGAAAATGGTTTGAATCAGGTTTTAAGCTACCGGCCAATCGTAGGACTCATACTGATTACTGCTCGGAAATCGAGTATTGTATAAATTTTTGTCCTATCACATGCCTCGTACTATTCGATCAGAAATCAACTTCCGGGAAGGAAATTTCGAAAGAAAATTTTATTTCTTTTAGAAATAGAATTTTCTTCAATTATTTATTGGATTCTGACGAAATAAAGAGACTGAAGGTAAGATCTTTATCAAATCATTCATCCAAAGTTGATTGTATGAGTATGGCTTGCACTGCGTCCACAAAACGCAATCACTTTTTATTTCCGGGTCCATGGATTTTTCATTACGTTTTTGCAATACTTGGACGGCGTTATTGAAATAGCAGTGAAATTGTAGACTATGAATCGTCAATTTGACAAGAAGCTCATAATGCAATGTAATTTCAGAATGGAATGTGTATACACTAGAATGTATTTTTATTTAGTGTAGGAAATTGGATTTTATCATTATATAAAACAATTCACAGCCTGTCATATTGATATCAGAACCGCATGGTACGGTGGTCTGTGTACAGTCAAGAGCACTGCACTGAGAAAACTAGAATGAAATTGCCTTGTATGATTGGATGGAAGAATCTTGCATCAAGTCCCAGATTCATATTATCTATTTTCCTTCCTTGAGTACGTAATGTATATCCATTGCATGGTTTAGGGTACAGGCCCGTAGCCAGCTTTTGTCAAAGGGGGGTGTGGGGGGGGGCAAAATCAGAAAAATTCTGGGGGTTCACATTTGACAAATTTGGCCCAAAATCACTGGAAAAGTGGGGTTATACCCAAAGGTAAAACGATCAAAATTCATCATGTCGAATATATCGATATCAGCTTTCGTATGTCAGAAATGTTCAACTGACTTGCATGCATCAACAGAAAACAACAATTACTACAACATGTACATATATGCAATCATCAACAGAAAACAACAATTACTACAACATGAACATGTATGCAAGACTAACAATCGTTTGTGTTTGAAGTTATACCTGTTCATGTAGACAAGTTCCTTTTGCCATCTGCTTGAAGCAGAGAAAATGTGTATTTTCTGGGATTAACTTACTAGTTCAGTATTATTTCTACCAGATAAGATGTATACAGTATATCAGATTTTCTGTTCATAAGGTAGATGTTTAAAGGAACTTATTTTATTTAGGCCAATTCATTCATGCAGTAAATTATTAGTTGCCTCATTTCGTTCATTACTCATTCATCTTATGAATCAGTCAGGTGCACAGCAAGAAAATATGGAAGATATATTGTCGATTGTCTTTTGTAAAATGGATAGAGATTTGCGTCAGATAAAGGAAATATTTGGACACGTGTGTCTGAGTACGACATTGAGACTCCCTTGCTTATTTGGTTTTTAGAATTTTTTCTGGGGGGAGGAGTGACCAGAATATTTTACCGAGCCTGTATGTTATAGGATGTCGGTCGGGGGGGGGGGTGTTTATTACCTTACGCAACACTGTTAATCACATTTGTGGTTGAGTGAATAATGAAACAATTCAATTCATGCTGTTGATGATATGAGGATTCATTGCTCATGCACCTTCTAAATGGATGTGTCTGACTCATAAGGTTACTTGGGTCATTCTGTCTGCTAGTCATTCCAATTCCTGATATTGCGAAGATGCAGGAGGATTCCCCAAAGCGATCCCATCAGATGTACACAATTACTACAGAATTTTAATGCTGAGCTGAATGCTGATTGGTTAAGAAGTTGAAACTGAGTTCTGGGAAAATACCTACGGTGAATTTAGATCTCTTGTGCCAGCTGTGTTCGGAGGAATTATTTAGGATTTCTGCGGCAAAAATATGGTGAGTGAAAATCGCATGGTTTCTTACTTTTATTCATTTTGCTATAATATTACATTTAGTATATTATGTTATAGTTATGTAAGTACGTGTACTTTTATATGATTATTAAAATAATATTAAATTCATGTGACTGGATATTTCTACTTTCAATTACCATGCATGTGTGAACTGTGTAAAGATAAAGTAGCCATTGTATTAATGTAGGAATTTCAACTAGAAGCAATGGGTGGGTGGGTGCGTAGATCTTTGTAAGAATAGAAGAAGATGGGTGGATTTTTTGTGTAGCCACAATATTATAGATTTGGCAGAATTCTGAAATCAAAATCAATAATTCATTAAACATTTTTATTTAAGATGGGTACCTTAGTTGTGTAGAAAGGATAGGGAGTGGGTAGGAGGGAGGGGGGGGCAGATGTTTTCCTCATTGTTCATAATGACTGAATTAATTTTGGTGGGGGAGGGGGTATTGTACCGTAGTTCACACTATCTATAATATGGGTTTCATCGTGGTTAACTAAATTGTCGCCTACGAATGATAATGAAATTGTAATTTGTCTAGCTTCTGCAACTCTAAGGCAATGCATGTTAATGCTCTTGGCTATTAGTGTCTCATACTGATATATATTTTGGACTTGGGAATGAGGTGTAAGCTTGGGTGGGGGGGGGGGGGATTTGATTGACCTACAAGTATCACCGAAAATTCAGTTGGTGGGTTAGTGGGTATGGAGGGGGGGGGTTAGGGATTTTGTCAACCCTTTAATGATCCTAGATTTACATCATTTGAATTGTATTTTGACATTAAAATCCTTTCATTAACTGTAAGTCGAACAGTATCTGCATTATCTGTATCTACTGCAACAAGTGAATCCCATAAAAACAGAAAGTGAGAAAGAAGGGGGGGGGGGTGAATGTTTTGAGAAATGGGGAGAGGGATTCGTTAGTTAATTAATTATAGCTTCACCATTGTGATTAAATAATTGTGGTGTTGGTAAAGTACCCTTACTCTAGCTGTCTAGTGGATACGTTCAGCTCATTTGTAATCTTAACAGCTCGGATGTTGTGGTGTGTAGGTCAACATGACTTAAATGACTAAGCCTAATATCAAGCATTTTGTCTGTGTCTTGCTGAGTTTTGCAGCATATCATTCGCTGAATCTTTTTTCGCTCTTATGCATAGGAGGCGGCGTGTATTGTCTCTTTTTTATCATGTACATGCGTCTTCTAGAAAGTCCATGGGTCTAGCGAATAAATACAGTCTAATGCATAATTCCAGGACATGAATTAACATTGAGATGATTTTGCATGAGTAAAATCATGTAATTAGCTAGGTATTTATGTTTGACCAACAGTCTTTCCTCGTCCAAGTCCCCGTGACCCCCTCCGTCTACATACCTCACATGCTGATGTGAGTAAATGTTATGGGACTCAAGAGACTCAAGCCAAGATAAAGCGAGACAAAAACAATATACAAAGTGTGACATACCAGACGATGACTGAATAAAAAAGAATTCATGGTTATGTACAGGGTGACCCCCAAAAATAGAACCAATCAAAATTGATATTATGTCTTTAAAGATGAATAGTTTTCTCTCGCATAATCAATGCTGTGCCATTATTATTGCTTATATAATATCTTTCATACCTTAGATATATCTTGAAATCAACTTATGAGTATATTATTGCCAATATATTGAAATGATCAACCGTCAGAATTGAACGCAATCGATTCGAGGGGAATCCCCATTAAGTGACACAAGTGTCCGTTGAACAAGGCAGCCAATCAGGGGTACGTCATGATATACAAATTAAACGGCCAATCAAACAACATATGGATTTCCCGGTATATTCAAATTTCAGATTCAATTCTTGCAAGTTATCCGATCGGTCAGTTCTATAAAAAAAATATTAGCACTGAAAGCGGGGAATTTGGGACTTCTTCGTTGGTATGTAGATAGGTGAATATATGGTAAATAAAAATCCAATGTGCAAAAGAGTCCAGGGCAGTCTTGATTGTGTTCTATGGTATAGGGCCTCTTAAATACGGGCTTTAATATTTACTCAAATTAACCTAATTTCATTTTCAGAAACTATGTTCTATGGATGATATAGATAATGGGTGATTTTTTTCTGTATAACAATGTTGGGATTATTGCCTCGAACGCCTGTCTGATGCATGGCGGCAACTTTTTCCTCATCTACCTTTTGCCTGACTCTACCTTTGCCTCACCTGCCCCATGCCTGACTGACTACGCCGTTGTCTTGTCTTATGCCAGACTCATGGAGCCTTGCTACGCCAATATATCTATGCAATTCTCATTTAATTTTCAATTTCTTGAAGCTAGGTCCAAGTTAGCCTGATTGGTAAAAAACGGTTCAGTAGTTGCCAATATCATCAAGGTTATTCTAACCTTAGGGGATGATGAGATGAGCAGATCATATGTATTGATGAAAGAAACGCAGCGAAAGTCAATCATATGGCATTTTCGTATATTGTAGCTTCACTTTTCCCTCGTCGTATTTAGAACTACTGTCTGAGCCACATGTGGAAAGGAAGTATATTAGACTACCCCCTCCCTCTTTGGAGCATGCCTCTTCCTCGCTCTATACATGGTATATTCGAAAACAATTGCCTGGAGGCACACAAATCGCCTCAATGTGCTTCAGGGCACTCTAACTACCTCAAGGTTCTAGAAATTAACTTAATTTGTCTAGTGTTGAATCATCTCCCATCTCCTTCCCCGCCAAATGGAGAGGATGCGTTCAGCTTGTCAAGGGGGAGGAGGACGTTCACAAAGCAAGAATATGTCTCAACTCAATTTTCCTCACACCACAACCCCCTCCCCCATTTTGAAATCCTGGATGGTTACATATTCCGAATCTCAGTTGTCTTGCTATGCCCTGTGCCCCTTGCTCCCCCCCCAAAAAAAAACATCCCCCAGCAGAAGAGAAGATGCTTAGCGGATTCCAGAGGCGTAATGCAGAACACAAATTCTTGATAATTTATGAATGTATGATGGTATATATTCTCATTCATAGTACAATAGGAAAAGATACGAGGACATCAATCACGTTCAAGTCTCCATCAACCATACACGAGCGCTAGTTTCTCCCCGGAGAGCTATATGGGATCAAGGAGTACGTTTTATTCCCTCAAAATGACACATATGATTGAAGTATTTTGTGGATGTTATTTTAGATTAACATGAATAACCTGAAATGGCTTTTGGGGGTTTGTTTTATCATGGAGACATTAAGAGCGAAACATCGCTCTACAACACTATTTTCCATCCTAAATACTAAATTCGTTATCTTGTTATTTCAAATGTTCCAAATTTGCTTGGTAGACTGACTCTATGGCATTAAAGCAAGAATTGTGGCTACATTGCAGTGATAGAGATACTTACGAATTTACAGGTGAAACTTACCTAGGAAACTGCCTAGGATCTGATACAGGGTTGAGGTGACTTCTATCGCTTATCACACAACATTAGAAGATTAGGGCGTCTTTATCGTGTTTGTTTTTTAAACCATGAGGTCACCTAAAAGACAAAGAGCCTGCTGGTGTAGTATCTCCTGGAGGCTGCTAACTTTCTTGCGCTGTCTGTACTGAGGACGGGGGTCGGGGCGGTCCTCAGTGGAAATTAGGAGGGGGGAGGTGTAAAAATTATTTTCAGCGCTAAAATAATTGGGCCATTTTCAAAAGAAAAGGTTTGTCTAGTAATTTTTAGTTGGCTTGGTTCCTTTATTGAAACAACATTATATACAACATTGACAGTGCCTAAGCCAAGGCATTATTGCTATATTTGAGGCTATCTTAGGGGGTAACCCGGTGGGGGGGGGGGGGGTAATAAGGGGGATTCCCATCATGATGAGGTGATGACACAACCTCAACATTTTTATTTATTGATCATCAGTACCCTTTCCTTACATTCGATTGCTGCTTTAAAAGAAAGCTTCATCTTTCCAATGTACTAGGCTCCCTTGGGGTTGTATCAGATCGAAGAAGTGTACTTTTGACTGTGATCAAAGAGGGTATGAAAAGTGGGACGTTCGGTCTTTTGATACAGCTGGATACAAACGCCAATGGTTGCTCGATGTGTTTTTGCGAAGGAAGGCACCCTAATCCTTGTAAAACTCCTTCTTTAGTTCTAAATATCTGGTATATATTACGAGGACGCCAGAATAGGTACAAAAGCCGGGAAAAAAGCATTGGCAATGACAGCTGTGATCTTACGCAGTTCTATATTTGTTCAAGCAATCCAAGAATTATACCATATTATATAAAATATCTCGACCTCTGATTGGATAATTCAAGTCACATGGTTTGTGAAAAATGACCTCCTTTGCATAAATCCTATCTTTTACTCATCATTGTAAATGTCTAGTCGATTCAAAGAATGTGCCATATGCCTCTGCATCTGCGCATCTGGCTCTTGAAGGCGTATATGCTCTTGTAATTATTGTAAGGGGTTTACACATAAGTGTTAACCCAAGACAAGGTAAAGATAACGTTTTGTTTTCTTTCTGTTTTGGATTATTTGCCCACTTCAGTGCACTTTTCTGAGATTATTTTGCAGAGAATCATTGCCGCACGATGCCTACATGTGCATCAAACACATCGTAGATGTATCATTTTTATATTTCACACTTATTTGTTAAATGTTATTCACAATTATGGATGCTATTCAAAATCGTGATTTTATTATGTATTGGAATCCACATAAGACAAAGGATATAGCCTAGGCCTAAATGCATTCGCAACACATATTGCGTTACTATTTTTATTCAATTTCAATTTTGTTATCATTTTTCATCTTTAGATCTAGTATGCACACATAGATGTCATATTTATCCAACATTAGCACTACGTTTTTCAAGTGTTAATTTTCACCATATAAGGATTGGTATCGATTTGGCGAAGGGAATTGAACACATGTTTCTGTTAAACCAGTCATCAAAAAATTCTGAAAATTTCCCCCTGCTTGCAGCGAGAAGACGGAC